ACGAGGGGCTGTGACAAACTGTTTCGTCGGAGTCACAGCCCCTCGTTTGTTGTCCTCTTCTCTCTCTCTGCCTACCGTTTACCGGGCAGTTCTGTTTGTGACGATATATTTATACGATATATACATATATATATATCACAGCCCCTCGTTTGTTGTCCTCTTCTCTCTCTCTGCCTACGGTTTACCGGGCAGTTCTATTTGTGACGATATATATACATATATATATATGCAGGGTTACCTGACTGAACGTTCGGGGGGCCCCGGGCTGGCCCCCGAACGTTCGGGCGTTCGGGGTCCCGTTCGGGGGCCGAACACCTCCAGGTTCGGTCCCTGCCAAAAAACATTTCGGGGCCTAAAAATACGTTTTTTTTTCTGAATTGTTTTTTGTGAGTTCTTTATGATGTAACCTACACGCCTATAAATTTTGAAGCCATTCTGCTAAGCCAAAAAAACATTAAAAATCATCAAAGATGGGGGTGTCAAAACGTGCTCGCCCACTCACTAATTTTTTTTTTTCACTTTTAACTTTTTGTTTTCACTTTATTTCGGGGCCTAAAAAAAAATAATATTATTTGAATTTTTTTTAATGAGTTATTGCTTATGTAAACTACATATCTGTAAATTTTCAGGGATTTGTCAATGCCAAAAAATAATTAAAAATCGGCAAAGATGGCGGTGTCGAAAAGGTGCTGGCACACTCACTCATTTTAATTCTCTTTTTATTGTGTTTTATTTTTATCATAGTGTTTATTTTCTGTATTTGATTCTTAATTCAAATTTGGTAAAGAATTTGGATGTAGTGCCCAGGCAAATGTTGTTTAGTTTAGTTTTCTCCATAACATATGTTTTTTTGGGAATTTTTTGAAAACTTTTTTTTTTTTTTTTYTCTTTTTTYTTTTGGTCCGCATTCGGCCCGAACGGCCGAACGCCTTCAGAAGGGGTCCCGTACGTTCCGGCGTTCGGGTTCGGGCGTTTGGCCCGTCCCGAACGCCAGCAACCCTGTATATATGTATATATATGTATCGTCACATATATATATATACCCTAAACCCTAAACCTTATATCGTCACAACATATATCGTCACAAACAGAACTGCCCGGTAAACCGTAGGCAGAGAGAGAGAAGAGGACAACAAACGAGGGGCTGTGACAAACTGTTTCGTCGGAGTACATATATATATCGTCACAAACAGAACTGCCCGGTAAACCGTAGGCAGAGAGAGAGAAGAGGACAACAAACGAGGGGCTGTGACAAACTGTTTTATTCTCTAAATTAGAGTCTCTAATTTAGAGAATAAGAATTGTAAATAGTTATTAGCTATATAATAAGATTACAATTTGGTAAAGAATTTGGATGTAACGTTGAGGCAAATGTTGTTAAGTTTATTCTTCTGTATAACATATATTTTTTTCAGATTTTTTGGAATTCTTTTTTTTTTTTTTTTTTCGGGGTCCGTGTTCGGCTGAACGGCCGAACGCATCGAGAGGGGGTGCCGAACGTTCGGGCGTTCGGCCCGTCCCGAACGCCGGCAACCCTGTATATATATATATCTATACATATATATCGTCAAATAGAACTGCCTGGTAAACCGTAGGCAGAGAGGGAGAAGAGGGCAACAAACGAGGGGCTGTGA